TTTGTGATAGTACTCATGTGTACAATCACCTTTTGCCCTTATGTCTATATAACACAAGGCATATACTATGTCATCCTTTTCCATTTCAATATTAGGACCTTAGACATTTATCCTATTATGCAGGATGGACAAATTCTATCTAGGCCACTCATGTCCCTCAGCGTATTTTGTGAAGTACCCATCAATTGTCTTTATGGTCATCCAGTTACGGACAATGTTAAATCAGTAATAAAGTACTCGACTCTGCATCTAGGATCCATAGTGGTTTCAGGTCGAAGGGTGGTATACAACACTATCACCATGAGAGTAACTTATGACACTTTGCATAATATTCTATGTAGTACTCTCATAGTTGGTCAATCCAGTATAAATATTACTCCTAATATTCATACTTATATTACTCCTATATAATAGTCTTAATGCTTTAAGGTTATCCTACTTCACAGTAAAGCTCGACTACAGATACTTTAAGAATAATGTCCTTATGTTTAATGAGATCTCGTGATTAAGTCACACTTAATATTTCATTAAACGAACTAGCTATTCTAGGGACTTTACTATCCTGAAAAACAACCATAATAAAGAAATGTCTTTTATTAATAATAAGTAATTCGATACAAGTACCAAAAGTATTGGCCTCTAGGGCTAAAACCAACAATAAATGCTTAAGTTTCCACATTTCTAACCAATGTGAGACTATTATCCACACTACTCACACTTGCTACATTCTCAACACTCATGTCAAAAATAATGGATCAAGCCTCATTTTAAGAGCTAATGCATCAAAGTCTCAATTTCAAGTTACAAAGATTAGTTTTGGATGTTTTAATTGATCATTACACTTTGCGGTACAAATATGCACTTTCATTATCTTAACTATAAATGCTTAAGAATATTATGGAAAATCATAACATGTTGCATTCATATGTTTAACATTCATGAAAATTGTCCAACACTCATTTTCTTAAAGTATTTTTTTGCCCCATAGCACGTGTAACCAGTTACACCTTACTTGGTAACCAGTTACACGTTCGTAAATTTGAATTCATTGGCCTTGTACAACAGGTGTAACCTGTTACACACACGAAATTTTGAAAATTTTTAGCACCACTTCAGGTGTAACTGGTTACGCCCTTTTTGGTAACCGGTTACCACTGAAGCAGTGGTAGTGGTTCATTTAGATTTTGAATCCAACAAATATTTGAATGCATTCCTCAAACATGGTATCTTTTCATGAACTCATACTCTTTCAGAAATGTGTTGAGGCATTATATATACAATGCATATCATAATTTGAAAAGCACATCTCTCATTTGCAATTCAAAATACATACTCTCTCATTTTCAAATTCAAGTGTCTTGATATAAAACTTTTGTTGAAACTTCTGCATCCATTTTCATTGCATCTTCAGAGAGTTTCAACTTCATAAATTCCTTGAGCACTTGTATAACATTTTGATAATTGCCTACTTGATAGATAAGATCAATCCTAGTGATTGATATACATTCAACAAACTTCAAACTTCTTATATTTTCCAGAATTATTTTGTATGATTTGTTGTCTAGGATTGTTGAAAGCAAGAGAGTCGATTTAGAGAGGATTGTTCTCATTTCGACTTGGTTGATCATAGGGTGTTGTTGCCTTAGTGATTGGTTAGAAGCTTGTGTCTAGAAGTCTAGGATAAGACTTGTACAAAGTTCTAACAGATAGTAAAATCTCTTAATGTGTAAGGAGACTGAGTACTTTCGAATTGTGACGGGAATTAGGATATATCGTTGTGTCCTTTATTTTTATGCACTTTATTATTTTTATCACTTAACATCAAACAAAAAAATAATTATACTTAAGTATAAAAATAAAAAATTTTAAAGTACATAATTCACCCCTTCTTAAATGCATTCCATACTTACACTATAAATATGCGCGTGTGTGTGTGTGATTTTCAAATATCTCAATTTATAAAAAATAAATGAAAAGAGGCTCGAATCTCGTAACTCTCCCAAAACATAAACACAATTACCATGACCATGTAATTTATATACATTACATCAAATTTCATTTGTAATTTATATACATTTTTGTAGAAACGCAAAGTTTTAGATAATATTTTAGAATCCCTTACAATAATAACACATCTCATTTAAAAAAGATTTCACTAAGAGAGTTCATTCAATAGATATTTGATCATTCCATTAACACGTCAAGAATCTCTTAACAACCTCAACATTATTTTCACAAATTTCTCTTAATTTCTTTTGTTTAAGAGCTCCCTCATTATCCTCTATAAGAGGAGTGCTAGCAACACTCTTTTTTTAACATTCTTTCAAACACTCTTTTTTTTATTGGTTGAAATAATGTACGAGTCCTTTACTTTGTAAATAGGTCACACATAAAGTGGTAGGATCCACACATATTTTAACCAATAAAAAAAATAAGTGTTTGAGAGAGTGTTATTAACATTTCTCTCCTCTATAATGCTTCACCCACTCGGGTAATCACTCATGATCACCTTGAATAAATTATTTTACTTAAATTTTCTATTAAGGAAGTCATTCGTTAATGAAACAATATAACAATAGCTTTATAAATACATGGCGACCTAAGAGTAAAGTGACATAAGCAAGGACTTTAGGTCTTAAAATTTTAGGTTTTAAAAATTTTTAAATTGGTCATAAATATTTTAAATAACATATTTTTTTATATAAAATTTCATTGTTGAGTTGGTAGAAGAAAGATTCTATATCTTTTAAATATTTATTTCAACTCTTATCAAATATAAAATTTAATTTAATTTATTTATTTATTTTAAAGACCTTATTTTTAAAAGAAAATTAAGCCTCTAAATAGGTTGGACATATATATTGGATGTAATTTTTAGTTACTTAATCATACTTTTGCTAATTCCAATTTCTAAAGTTTCTTTGCGTATAAACTTTTTAACTAGATAAATGAATTACACCACTTCCACTATTATTTTGCAAAAAATAAAGAGTGATAATAAAACTAATACCACGTTAAATTAATATGTAACATGCGTCTTTAATGTTGTCTTAAGATAATTTCTTAAATTTTTAAAGTGGTTTTCTTATGTCATACAGAGGTGGAAGTGAATAATTGAATTTAAGTTGCGTGGATAAAATAGAGAAGGATTATATATATATATATATATATATATATATATATATATATATATATATATATATATATATATATATATATATATATATATATATATATATATATATATATATATATATATATATATATATATATATATATATATATATATATATATATATATATATATATATATATATATATATATATATATATATATATATATATATATATATATATATATATATATATATATATATATATATATATATATATATATATATATATATATATATATATATATATATATATATATATATATATATATATATATATATATATATATAAAAGGTGATGATCATCTTAAGTAAAAAATTTTTAACTTACTATAAATTATATAAATTATAACTTTTAAATTTAATGATTAATTAAGTAAGAGACTAATCTAACGATTAAATTGAATTCAAATTCAAAGGATACGATTTTGAGTAAATTAAAAAAACTTACTCTTAAAGTAAGTTGATCTTCATGTGTCTATATATATATATATATATATATATATATATATATATATATATATATATATATATATATATATATATATATATATATATATATATATATATATATATATATATATATATATATATATATATATATATATATATATATATATATATATATATATATATATATATATATATATATATATATATATATATATATATATATATATATATATATATATATATATATATATATATATATATATATATATATATATATATATGACACAAAAGTATCATTAAAATTGAAGGAAATTTTTACCATACATTAATAAAACACGGTTTTGCACAAGAAAAAATGTTATGCGATTAAGAATCAACACAAAAATAAAATAAAATGTAATAGAGACGATGATGTTGTGTTTGATGTATAGTCAGATTATACGAGATAAAATTAAAATTAGAGAAGAAACACATAATAAAAATGTTGGTAAGAAATAGATTTAAGTGATTTGGACATATAGAGAGAAGACGCATAATATATGTTATAATTATTGTAATGAGATTAAATTAGACGAAAAAGAACAAATAATTTGAGATAAAGAAATAGATATAAATTATTTTATAAATTATTAAGAAATATATTGTCATAAATAAATTGAATAAAAACAAGACATTGAATATAACATTATGAATTTGATCCAAATAAAATATCTTTATTTTTTTATCTAATCAATATTACATAATTTTATAGGTCATACAGTAGATCAACTAATATTTGTTAGTTGGGTTAGATGGATCCAAACCGTTTGTTCAGACTTTAATCTATAACAATAATATATATTTTTTATATTTATATTAATATAAGAAATTTTTATACTTATAAATCAACTATTTTTAATAGAAAAAAGATATTACATAACTCTAATCATGATACTTTAATACTCTCTGTCTCTCTCATGTCTTTATTATAAAAAAATAATAATAATAATTTTAAATTTAGTAAATATTTAATATATTCAGAATAAATATAATCCAAATAAAGTAAATTTCTTTTATAAGAAAGACCATATTTATTTTTTGATTCAAGGTTTTTCCATTATTGGCTATTGCCTTACCCCATTCTTGGGGCCAGAGATAAATAATCAATGGTGGAACAAATAAAATAAAAACAACCCATTTTAAAATTTAAAATTAAAAAAAAAAAAAACAAAAAAAACAGACAACTCTCAAAAACAATAATATTATTTATTTAAAAAAAACAAAAGGTTCCTTAAAAAGGCCAAAAGAACAGAACATCATAACAGAACAAGAGACAGAACAGAGTGTTCCAGAGTTTAAACAACACCATACAATTTTGCATCTTCAGAAACATCAATGGAGGGCATCAAGAAGAGACTCTTTATTTCATCAATTTCACCAACAATGGTGTTTCTCTTTCTAGCTTTTGCTATTCTTCTCATTCTACCAACTGCATCAGCTTCAAGGATTTTGGTGGGTGGTAAGAAGGGTTGGAACACAAATTTCAACTACACTACTTGGGCTAAGGACATGCATTTCTACAATGGTGATTGGCTTTGTAAGTTCTTTCTCTCTCTAAAGTTTGAATCTTTGTCTTCATAAACAGTCACATTTGCTTAGTTTCTTTAGATTGGATCTGAACTTGTTGAAGATTAGGGTAAGTTAAAGTTGGTAACTTTTTTGTGTTTTTGATACTTAATTTGATATTTTATGAACAATCATGTAAAAGGGTTTGAGGAAATTGAATTGGTTAATCTTAGATCTTTTGGGCTTATTTGATACCTAATTTGCTATTTTTGTGACTTATTGGAAAAAGGGTTTGAATTGGTTAATCTTAGATCTTTTGGGTTTTTTTAATTAATCTTTAAAGTTTATAGCATTTTCATGTTTTTAATACTTAATTTTCTATTTTCATGTTTTGAATAAATTGAATTGGTTAATCTTAGATCTTTTGGGTTTATTTGATTAATCTTTTGAGCTTTGTGTCAAATCCATGGTGGTTAAATATATATAATTGTTGGAAAAAAAAAAAGAAAATTGTTAGTATTGTGTGTGTAATTGTGCTTGAATTGAAGATTTTAGGTGTAGTTTTTGTTCCAAAGTAAAGATTTACAGAAGAAGAAAAAAAATAAAAATAAATAAATTTTGGATTTTTAAAATAAAAATCATTTTCTGTTATCTTGTTATGCACTCTCAGATCCATAAATTTTGGCTTTGACTAGTGATCTGTATATTTTATTGCTTAGCTGTTGAGTTTTTCTTTGTATATTTTTCAATTACTTAATTTGGATTTGTTAGAGTCTATATAGCACTGACACACGGACACTAGACACATCATTGATACTAACAAGTGATAAGATGGGGATACATGTGTTGATGTTGTCTTTGACAGACACCGAGACATGTCGGTTATCTTTGACTGACACTGATACATGTCGAATATCAGACACGTTTTTAATCTGTAGTTTTTCTCGTGATTTTGTGTTTTCTAATGTAAAGTTAACTACTTAAATGCATGAATTGGCTTCTCAAGCTTATGAACACAATAATTCACCTAAAGTTAATTAATTAATTAACTAACTATTAAGTGTTCCTATCATCAACATTTCAACAACAAAAATGATGGAAAATAATAAAATTTCCTCCTCAATTCATGGCTCAATTTGCAAATGAAAAAGCAAATTACAAAATGTTGACTTTCATCATTTCTTCCCAAGTTATATTTCATTACTCATAATCTTGTCAACCAGTGACTTTTGGAGTTTGGACATTGCCAACTAACCTTGATTTTTTGTTTTGTTTTTTTCTTTCTTTCTAGTTTTTGTGTATGATAGGAACCAAATGAATGTACTAGAAGTAAACAAAACAGATTACGAAACATGCAACTCCGACCACCCGCTTCACAACTGGACAACCGGAGCTGGAAGAGATGTCGTTCCATTGAACGTGACTCGACATTACTATTTCATAAGCGGCAAAGGGTTTTGCTTTGGTGGAATGAAAATAGCTGTTCATGTTGAAAATCTTCCTCCACCACCAAAGGCTTCACCTATAAAATCTTTTGCACCATCTCTTAAAGGCCATAACATCCTTCTCATGCCTATTGTTTTTGCTATTGGAGCAGCTTGGGATTCATTCATTTATTTATGGTAACTTTTAGATGATTCCTTAAAGAAATACCAATTGTGTTAGTTACTTGTTGATGGTTATGTTGTGTTGAACTTTTTTTTAAGGTTTTAAAAGGGTCATTGTTGGTTGGAATAGTTGTTGACCTTAAATGAGGTTGAAGGGTGAATGATGTTTGTAGTATGTTAGGTAGTGTTTGGTGTTTGTGTTTGTTGTGTTATGAGGAGAAATATGTTACAAACTTGTTTGATTTAATTTATTGGAGAAATTAAATGCGGAAATTGTGGAAATTTTGTTGTATGCTTTTGGACTAGTAGGTCCTTGAATTAGTGTATATAGAAAAAGATATGTTTGGAATGTTGCACCTATGGGGTACCTAAATGTAAAAACAAGATTAAAAGATTGTTAGGTAGGTTCATGAGAACATGATCCAACTCACTAGCCAATCTAAATGGACCAAGGTGCTTTGTTTGAGTATTTTGTGTTCTAGTTGTTTGATATGATGTACAATATTTGGTAAGTGTATCGGTATTAGTACAGAATACGACATTTTAAATAAATTCAAAAAATACGGTACGTCTATGATTAATAAATTGATTAATAAGAATTTTTCTATAAAATATATTGGTGGAGCACTAATTTATTCGTGATAAAACACCACAATCAAAATTTTAAAATAAAAATTGTAAAAAAAATTTATAATATATATATATTTAAAAAAGTGAAAATATTTCACGTGTATTCGATTTTATTGGTACTTCACAATTTAAAAAACATTCATGTTTTGTGGCAAATATGTTGTTAAATAATGTTTTTTTATTGGAGATATTTTGAATTAGTTTTTAGGGTGATTCATGAAGGTGAGAAAAAAATACATAAGAGGGAGGGTTTGAATTGTGTTCTTCAATTTGCGTTGTTTTTTAATATAGTTCAGAATCTAAACAATTTGTTCAGATTCTGATAATATGTATTCAGTGGAATAATAAGTAGAAACAAGTAAATGACAAATGAGCACGCAGAGATTTATCATGGTTCCTCCGAAATTGAGAGTAGTTCAGTCCCCTTGCAGCATAAGAGATTTTTCACTATAATCAAATTGTGATTACAATTGCTTATGCCCTCAAGCATACGACTTTTCTTTGCTCAAACTTACAACCTAAGACTTGCCTGCTCAATCAGCGCCTGATCAAGACTTCTAGCTTAGATTTTCAGATTTTAAGACTTTCCTGCTTATACTCTCAAGTACAAACTTTTTACTCAAACTCACAACCTAAGACTTTTCTACTTTGATTCCACGAATCCAAGACTTCTTGCTTAAATCCCACAGATTCAAGACTTCCTACTCATACCCTCGTGTACAAGATTTTCTGCTCAGATTCCACGAATCCAAGACTTTCCTGCTTAAATCCCATAGATTCATGACTTCCTGCTCATACCCTCAAGTACAAGACTTCCTGCTCAGATGCCATGAATCCAAGACTTTCTTGCTTAAATCCCACATATTCAAGACTTTCTGCTCATACCCTCAAGTACAAGACTTCCTGCTCATATTCTACGAATCAAAGACTTTCCTGCTTAAATCCCACGAATTCAAGACTTTCTGCTCATACCCTCGAGTACAAGACTTCCTCCTCAAACTCCACAAATCTAAGACTTTCCTGCTTAAACCTTCAATCCAAGACTTCCTTGTTTAATCAACAATTTGATCAAGGTTTCAATGCTCAAGCACATAGCAGGATACTTACTTGGCTCAAGCTCACAACAAGAAACTTTGATGCTCAAGCACATAGTAAGAGATTTTCTTTCTAAACTACTAAACAACATGTTTAGCAGAATAGATAACAATGTATATTTGATATATAATCAGAAGTATAGGTAGGGTGTCCAAAACAGATCGTGGCCCGTCGGGTCGGCCTGCGCACCCGCCAAAAAATGGCAGGTTGGGTTGGAATTTTGTGTCCTCCTATCCGCCTAACCCGCCCCGCTTAAAGTCCGCCAAAAAAAAGGGCGGGTTGGCGCGCTAGTCTGCCAACATATTTGTCAAGCACTATAATTATTATTTTTTGTTGGTTAAAGGTTAATACTTGAACTATATTTTGGAATACTTGTTGATGACTCCACTTTATACATTTATTTGTGAATATATGCAATATTTTTTAAGTAAAATTTATTTAAAATATTATTTATAAAAAATTATTCTAAAAAATTAGTGAAAAAACTAATTGAAATGTAAAAATAATCCATTTAATCTATTATAAAAATGAAAAATAAAAAAATAGGCGGGAAAACTCGCCGCCCGCCAACCCGCCCCTATGGCGGGGCAGGCTAGATTTTAAAGTCCATTTTCACTTGGTGGACTTGCCTGCCCCGCCCTTTTTTTTGGCAGGCTTAAGGCGGGGCGGACGACCCGTTTTGCCACCCCTAAGTATAGGGCAATAACTATAACAAAGATCATAACACTTAAGATTTCTAAGATATTAATTGTTTAAAAAATCTTAAGGCTTTGTACAATTTACAACAAATAATAGAAACTCTGCATACTCGACGTTGTTGTTGATCTTGTTATTCTTTCATTTTGATAGAAGCGTGAAACGCTCCTTTTCTGCTTGGCCCTCTTTCTTCTTATTCCTTGTTAATTCTTCAGACTGAATCTTCAGCTACTTAAATGGCAATTACAAAAGAATAATCGTTGAAAGAGATAACTTGCACAAGTGTCTTTGTTACTCCATAATATTAAGAGACGTTGAAGATAGATACACAAAGATCATTATCCATTGTGTAACTTGTTTAACCGCAGTGTCTTCCTTGTGAGTTGTACTATAGATCCATTGAGAGTGGATATCCGTAAAGTAAGCCAAATTTCCTTGAGCCATGTAAACACAAACTCTAGTTGACAAACTGATTTGACATTGTAGCTTACTTTATGCAGTACAAATCACTTAGCTTTGTCTATGGTTCTGAATGATCACCAAAAGCCGATACATTCAATAAGTGTAGAGATAACATATTTCTCTTATGATGTTGATACATTCAGCTTCAGAGTCTATGCAATTCTATATCATCATACTTCACTTAAGAACGTCCTTCAGTTCTGAACCATCAAAAGCCAAAAACTCAGCTTCTCTTAAATGCGTTCTCTTAACAGATTCTGAGTAGATTCTCTTTGAGCTTTAGAACCTGCATACTTAGAACACATCTTAGATAACACCATTGTTCTTCCAATACTTTGTTATCATCAAAATCCAAAGTATATATGTCATGAACAAATCTTCTTCTAACAATTTCCCTTTTTTGATGATGACAAACATAAGTATTTAAGAACAATGTTAAGCTATTTTAATTTACTTGAAACATCAGAGTCTGAGGTTTGTAAGCTCCTCCAAAGTCTAATAGTTCAAAGGTTTAAGCTCCCCCTAAGTTCTATATTCAAGAAAAATAAAATATATCTTTCGGGTAAACAAATAACCGTAATAACATAATTTTAAAATATTTAAAATAAACAACATTTAAAATTTGAAGGGTTCAGATTCTCTTTAAATACTTCTATATATTTCTCCCCCTTTTGCCACATCAAAAAAGTTTAAAATAAAATTTTAAAACAGAGAGAAGAAAAAAAAACGAAGTATTTCATAAATACAAAATATATCATCATTACTTGAGTTGTTCCTAAAGAAGATAAATGATTCAGGTAATAGAAAGCATTAAAAGCGTGTACAATGCATTCTTAATAGTTATTGGTCGTAGCACTTCCAAAGATTAAGAAAAGGATTTAATCTAATCATTTGGTCACCCCAAACTCCACTATAAAAGCAATCAAATCCTAAGTTTTTTTCATCAACATCTTTTAGAACACTATGGAATCCATGGCTCAAAATACCAACATCTCTACAATAACAGAGATTTTATAGGAAATCACAAGTCTGAAGACGCCAAGTCCACAAACTCTAGAGGATTCTGTAGCTTCTGAAGTAAGTTCTTCAACAACTGCATTGAAACCTAAGAAGGTGACAATGAAGAAGAAGAATATAACCAGATATATAAGGGTGTTTCAGATTGTAATTTCAGATTCTAAAGATGAAGATGAACCAAACTATACTCGGGAAAACTTCATGGGTCTTAAGGCTTTAGAAGAATTAGATTAATGTAATCTGAATATCTTCATCCTTTTTGTAATCCTTATTTATTTAATGAAAGTTATTTTTTACTACTATTATTTTGCAGTGCATTCTTTTACTTTCCCTTTTTTTTCCTGACATTGTATAAATGAAGTAAAAGGAAAATAGATTATTAAAAAGAAAATAAGTAGATGTTAAATGACATTTACAATTGTTTAAGAGAATCTTTATTAGGTGGCCAAATGCTATTTTTGGTGGTTGTGATGTGTATTAAGAGCTTTGAAAAAGTTAAGCCCGACCTATTATATTTTCAAGTTACTGATTTTTATGGTCATTGCTAGCAGAACTTAAATTTGTGCTTAAGAGTAGTGTTATTGATAGTAGAGGATATTAAGATTGTTGTTGGGCTCGGTATTGCATTTTATTTTAGGCCCACTCTTTCATCCTATCCAATAAACTCTTGTTTTAATATTCACACTCATCCTAAATTACAAATAGTTTGTAAATAATATGCTTAAGCTGTTGTTGGCTAGTTTTATTTTAATCAGATTCTAAATTCATGGATTCGATAACTTGATATCGTTACACCACCAAATTTCTATACATCCATTGGTATTCTCGTCACATTTTTGGTCATTGCGTATGACATGCCCTTCACGTGGTTATCACGCGCAAATCAACTTTTAACATATTTCATTTTTATTCCAAATCGATTCCATTTTTCAACAATCATTTTCCTTTAAAACCTTTCATTTAATTAATTAATTTTTAGACAATTCAAAATAATTTTCTAAACAAAAATCTTGGACCATTACTAATTAAAACATTTTTATTTTTCAAAACACGATTAATCAAAACATTTCCTTAATTAATTATGAAAATAGTGAATTCTTGAGGTCTAACACTTCTTGG